AACAATAGATGGGCTGAAAAGTTGAGGAAAAAGAGATATTGACATCTTTGTCGGTATAGTTTCCTTCTTATACCATACTGATCTTGTATTTTTAACAGACTTTAAAAAAAGAGTAGGTTCACAATTCATGTGTTTTTTTTTATGTTGTACCGCAAGACTCGTCATTGTAAATCGATTTTGAAATTCTTTAAAAGAGTTTGGTCGCATTGAAATTTAAAGAAAAAATTCACTACTATGGGAGAAAATACTAGTTTATTTCAATTAATCACGATGCAGGCGCATTGAAATCGGTGATACTATTTTATAAGTTAATTTTGAGAAATGAAATTGCATTTTGAGTTAGGTCAAAAATATGTTTTAGATATCAATTGTCAGATTCTTAAACTTCAAAATGATAAATATAGGAAGTAGGCTATCCGACAATACACTAGTAAACAGAGGAACAAAGCAGTAAGTAGCTATTTCAATTTAACGTAAGTGAAGCCCCTTGGAAAACATTTGATAATGTCTTTTTACGTGTATAATTTGTCATTCACAGTAATAAATGAACCTTCTAAAAACCTGTAGGAACGAAATTCGACAGCCATGAAGGAAACAATTAATAATTGTAAAAGGTTGCGGTACTTATGGAAGTGGTGGCAATTTCCTGAGCGGACGGGGTCAAGTACTGTCGACACAATCACGGTGATTCCGCGCCAAGATAGGAAGGAAACCGCGACCTGCGGTCGCAACCGGATCAATGGAAAACAATTTCTTGATGAAAATCCAAATTTGTTTACAGTGGTAATGATATATAATGAATTACTGATGTAGTTAGCTATTGAGTTGAAGTAAGAAACGTATCTTTAAATAATTTAATAATATTTAATAATTTATTTATTTGACCAATATAAATATTACAGTGTAGGACATTTCAGTTTAACATAGATCTTAGACAATAATTAGACTAAGTTACACTAGCGTAAATCTATAGTAGTGTTATTTTATGATTAGATTTCATAAAGATCTTACGATTTTGTTTAAAAACTTTAGTCGCTGCCTGCCTGAACTAGGGTAAACCTGTGTTTCAGGCGATCGCTAAATATTTGTTTAAACTGTTTTGTACGTGTCTATGTGATTGAATTCCTCCAAAATTGCTGAATTTGATGTTTTTTTTTGTGTAGTGATTTCGTAAATAGTTCAGATTCACAATAGAAGTCATTATTTGTTTATGGAGTTTTTAGATTTTATTTTTATGTTTGGACGAATACATAACTTTTAAAGATTTTAGTTTATAGGTAAAAATCAAGCATGACAAAAAACCTTGAATTTTTGAGAAGACGTCTGTCAAGTCTCCTATTAGTTATAGAGAGCTTTGCAAAGCTATAGTGTATATCAAACATCATATACGAGTAATATCAATCATCGTCACAGGAAATATTCATAATTGTTCCCCATACCAAAACACTACAAAGAAAACGAACAAACATATTAGTATGCAAAATAATATTGCTGACCACATGCCTTCAGCCGTAGACCCCTTAAAAGGTATACATTTGACAGCTGCATACAAATCACCGAGTGGGCCGACCGACAATGTTTAGAGCAATGAGCAGCCAGTGGGCGAGACAAAGGAATAACTCTCGAAATTAGATAATAATGTGTAATACAGAGATTAGATTTACGCAATGGTTATCTTTATTTATTGAGTAAAATCTTTTAGATTAGGGTACTCCAGATTAGTCATTTAGATCTTGGAGCCAACGGTTCTGACCGTAGATTAGGAGAATTTCACTGCCTTATTTTGCAAGGATTGATGCATACCTAAACTAATATTCTCCCGTCATAAAGTGCAGACTAATTTTGATTCTTGATGAGCGCTGGTCTCAAAAGAACACAAAAGAAGTAGAACTACTTGATACTCTATCAGAACTAGATGCGAAACGGCATCATTGATTAGTCTAAACAGTTTGCTGTTAAATGGTATTCGGTAATTTACTAGGTTATACCCGAATCTAAAGCAATAGAAATACTTGCCGGTTTTTAGTTTGAAATTTCATATAATGTTAGCCAGATCGAGAATAAAATCCGTAAAGGTTGCCATCCAAGAATAGACGAGTTAATTACTGGCTATTCTTTGATTGCCACAATGTCATATCATAACAATTTGGCATATAGCCAAGGGCTATACTCGACGAATAGTTTTATAGGAATAAAGCCATTCGACGTTGGATTCTTAAAAAGTTTTCACGACAACACTGATAAATGAATAACCATCACTGAAACGTTGGTTTACGCATTAAAACTAAAGCTTATTATTGCAAGTTTCATATCAGAATCGATATAACAACTGGGAATGATCAGACTATTGAAAATAGGTTATAAATATAATGGATATTAGAAAAGCGTACACACAACCATAAAAGTTGGAATGAAAGACATAAATCACGACATTTTGACAGATGGCTGATTTGCTTTTGTGCCGTATAATTGATTAGGTAGTGAAAGTAAACGTAAATTTAGATAATTTTAGAAGCGCTCGAAATAAATAACAATGACATAATCCCACCATAATTTATAGGTACAGAACGGCATTATAAGAAAGTATTTTTAAGATGACCAAACTTCTAAGAGCATCTGCGAGTTATTAGCAGCAAAAAGACAAAGCTCCATTATTAAAATTTACAAAGAACTTTACTAGATGACAAGTGTATATCATATACATTTAATATCATGAAATAAAGTTTTGTTTGATCTAAAACCAACCGTGAACTGAAGCAAGCTGAACTATTCCTATCACTTAGCCTGATCTATTACGACGAAAATGACATATCAGAAACACACACTTAAGGTATCCTGCCAATTTCGGCATACTGCTGAACTTGATTTTCTTAATATCCCTGAGTGCACGAGATCAGCTTGATATAAAAACGCGTATCTGAGGTCCAACCGGTCGCGGGTATCGTCTGAGTCACTCAGGTTGTGATGTAACGAGATGCGATATTGCGGCGAGTGGGATGATGCAGTCTGTAGGTATGCACGTGGAATTCGTATTAGTATTCTGAGAAAAATTGCTGCTTTCATTTTGTATTGAGATGGTGTGGATTGGCGAATACTGAGTCATGGTTTGTCAATTGTGTTTGTGATTGGGTGAATAAACTCGCTTCTATAATAAAATTTTATAGTATAGCTGATTTAACAATAGGTCTCATCCAGTTGTCATCTTTTTAGATTTTATTCTTTTCTTATAACAGGATTTTTAAGAAGGAATAATAGCCTGAAAAAGACATCCCTTAGGTGGTTATATACTTTTACTTATTATAGTTTTATGAAACTTTAGAGCTGTAATTCATTTCTTATCTCTTTCTGCAAAAAAAGTTGCACTGCGGTGATCACTAGGTTTATTAGAAAGATCTGTTTTGTTTTAGCTATGTATTAGCTAATCTCCGCAAATAGATAACGGACTTCAATAAAGATCTACAAATATCATAAATGTAAACTTGGTAACGGGATTTAAAGCTATCACGATATCTATTTGAATTCCCGTTATGTACGTGTGTCACGTACGTACATAGTATTCGATATGTAAGTGTGTCAAGTATTAATATATGAAGCATGTTTTAGTGAAATAAAAGTTATTAAGCATAACATTGTTCCTTTACGAAAATTAAAATAAAATATGAAGAATTGTTTTCTTGCGTTATACTGCTTCATTTCGCTTCTGAAACGAATATTTCGTTTTTTTTTTTTAATTCATATACAGTTTAATAATTTGCGAGATACATTTTCAAGAGAAAGGCACTTTTTCAGTAATAACTGTGTACAGTTTTAATGATATCGTCTGTCTGAATATTTTTAAGTTTATTATATTGAACACATCTAATTTAACTAAAATGAAAGTATATATAATAAATAAATATTATATGATTTAACTGCAAAAATTGTTACTCATTGTTTTATTGTAAGACTGTTAATAGCTCAATTTATTTTTGGACTGAGGTTAAGGTGACCTCTGGGATGCAGGTTTTGCATGAACACGAACCTTGGTATTGAAGAAAGTATCAAAAACTATAGATTTTTAATTATTTTTTTGATCGGAAAGTACCTAAACAGTGATAACTTTAAAATTCATTATCTACTTATTTTGTTCGTAACAGTGAGCGGTGTAAACAAAAATAGGTCAGTGTTTGACCAGCAATTGTAAGGTTTCATTTACACAACCCGCAGTGGGTTATGCACGTGTATATATTATGCGGTTGTGTTAACCTAATACGAGTATACTATTTTATATATAGTTGCAAGTATGTGTACAATATGTGGCGTTATTACAATCTAATGGACAGTGTCAATGACCTCTTTACGCGGTAGATTAATATTAAAAAAGGGCATATAATCACATTTTGTTACAAGCTTTTCTTTAACTTGTAATGTGTTGGGCACGCATCTTGGAAGCTAAATTAGAACCATTTCGCGATGTCGGATGGTGCTCAAATCTGGTGTATATGTCTAATTTGGTGTGTATGTGTTCAGTACAATAAAATCGTACCATGAAGCTGTTCTGGTGGTGGAACCGGAAGACAAAGGTCAAAGAAACTTCTTAACCATGCAAAATAAACCCATCGTTTATTTTGCATTCGTTAGGATAAAAATAACAACACTGTAAAGAATTCTCTAATAACTCAAGGTTTATAAAATCATGCATTTTGCAATATTAAAAGTTTAACTGAATCACGCTGCGTCCTACACAAGCCCACTCTTATGACATTATGATGTAAGAAGCTACATATTTAATTAGGTTGTAGTGGATTCTTGGGAGATAAGTTTGTAAAGATATGTGCTTGTTGTTAAATTCAACAAACTTTCCCGTTTAGGCAGATAAAAATTTCGGTTGCTCCTTTGCCTTTTAGGAGTGAGAGAAAATAATCTGTGTACGTCAGTTTGCCTCTATACTGTTAGTTAAAGTGCAGGAGATATCGATAAATTCATTGTTGTATCAAGGTTTTGATGTGAAACATCTAATACTAGTCAGAACTGCTGTTGGCGTAGCGACGCGTCGCCACGGCATGTGATAGTTTACGTGACATGTAATGCGGTGTGGCGTCGCCATTTGGAACTGACTCTAGTACAAAATCGTTTTGATGTTTCAAATCTGCCAGACGTCCCGCGACGGCTAATTTCTTTTTCTCTTTACAATAATAAGCTTTTAAACTGTCTGTTCGTGCTTTTAGTGATAATTTGGATGTGTCCATATACTTTGGAAGTTCGGTCACAGGCTAACCGTTAGTTCAGATGATGGACATACCGAAATAAGTTTTAAGATTTTTAAAGCCATGACAACTGAGGGCTAAATGACAACACAAAGATTTGTCGGCATAAGTATTATATAGATAACAATTTCAGCTAGCCGCAGTAAACGATCCAATATCTCGTATTACCAGCGACCAATCAATCTAACGACATGTCGCCGAAAACGATTATTGCGATAGATCTGGTATCGTTCAGTACTATACGATATATTCAACTACTACACATTTCATCATCATCATCATCATCAACAGCCTTTAACAGTCCACTGCTGGACATAGGCCTCTCCTTAGAAAGGAGGTTTTGGCCTACTATACCACGCTGGCCAGACGGGTTGGTATAGGGTTTGTGTCAAGTTTTCCTTCTTTTTGCAGTTTTTCCTGCGTAGGTTGCTCCCTTAGTCGGCTCTTACGACACCCACGGGATGAATTGGGGTAGTGACATTCCGTATTCTTAATCCATCACTACACGCATTACACATTTGTTTAAATAAATTTCTTAGCGTATATTCTTTGTGAAGTTACATTATAAAAAGCTAAATGTTTTAATAATGACTGAGATTCATTGAATTCTTGTATCATGCTTATTAGTACTTATTATTACTCTCTTTCCCAATGACAAAAAAAAATGTTTTAGTGTTGACACAGATTTTTCAGATTTTTTTGGCATTTTTAGATTATTACACACTCATACACTTAGAACCATGGCCAAGTGTTGGTAATAAAAAAAAAGAAATTATAAGAAACATCTTCAAATGTAAAACAAAAATGTATAAATGACAAAATACAATTCGATTACATCACATTTAAAGGGATTAAAGATTAACCGCGCGCCACTTATAGTCGGATAGTCGATAAAGCCTTTCAAGCGATTAAGTCCAATATCGTGGGCTTTCCCATAGAAGGATAAATTCATGTACAGGCAAGGAATTACTGTAAATTAAATTCCGATACTATTTTAAGCATAACTTTATTGTCGTGGCAATATACGACTTCTACCTATACCTAGTCGGGTCATGAGATTGTAGGTTTGAACGTGGACTAAACTATAAGTTCTGTCAAAACCTTATTATTTTTAATATTCTAATACTGGCCAGATATACTTCGACTAATTTTAAAAATAAAACGGTCGCGCTTGCCGGAAATAAAAAATAAATTAACATCCTTCTTCGAACACTCCATTTTTGAAAATTATTCACTTTCAAAAATGGAGTGGTCGAAGAAGGAAGATAGAGTTGCGGTTATCGCGATGCATCGCTGTGTTACGCGCCAACAGAGATTTACAATATTTTGCAAAAATTTAAAATAACACAACGGTTTATTTCCCGCTCTGTCAAACGATATTGCTTTTGTTGCATGTTCTATCACTTCCAATTGTGCGAAAAGTAACATACAAAGGCATTTCCAACCATTTGGTTACAACAGGTACATTTCCAAACGCGTGATTGTAAAACATTAACAAGCCTGCCGTTATTGCCGATTGCTAATATCAATTAAACTATTGTGTCACAATTTGGTCAATCAACTCAGATCGTATAAATGGTTCAATGATTAAAACTAGTCCAGTCAGGTCCTTGGTCTAGATAAACTGAAGCAGTAGTCCAGTTCTTCCAGATTTTTCCAGATTAGATTTGCTATTTTAGAAGCGCCTTCTAGCATTCTAAATAAAGACACTTACACATATATTGAATTAGGCAGTAGAAATTAGATACTGATTCGTTTCACAACGGTATCAAAATCTTGCGTGTTACATTTGATTGACAATGCAACCCGTTTGATTTTACATAATCTCTTTGCCGGAGACGCTTTCCGTTCAAAATTTTACGTAAAATCATAATACAATGAACATCTTCGGGAATTATGTATGATATATGTATATAGCCACATAAAAAGACAATTGAATGTCAGACAATGTGCAGATAATACTGTTTAGGCTTCAGAGTATCATGAGAGATGAATTTGAATATTACAAAAGAATGCTTAAACTTTAACTGTTACCATTCCGACAATAGTTTTTTTCTTTTGTATCATATTCGTGTCACTGCACACGCGTTCCAACAAGTGAAGTCAATGAGATATCTATCGTTGTATTAATTTGATTTTATTTTAGAGAAATTAGAATAGAAAGAGCTGACAGCATGTGAGTGACAATACTGGTGTTGTTTTATACTATAGTTTTTATTTAAGGTATAGGTTGGCAAACGAGCAATGGGCTCACCTGATGGTAAACGACTACCGCTATCCATAGACGCCTGAGACTTTAGAGTCATAAGTCGTCCTCTGAGTCCCCAAGTATCAGGTGAAAAGCCACGAAGGAATTACTTAACACCGGTTTTCTGTGAGGCCGTGGTATTATGTCGGTCGAGCAGGTCCATTTGTGTGGAAGCTTGGCTCTCTCATGGTAATTTACACCTCGGTCCATATGGTAATCTACAATTTGGTACACATGGTAATCTACGGCTTTAAAAGAGACGATAATCCCTGAGTTTGTTTCGTCCTTTCTTCTCAGAGCTAATCCAGTTAGGAATGGCCAAATTCATCTGTTCAAAAAAAAGTTTTACGTGCAGGTGTTCCTGTAACCTACTTGCAGAATAAACGATTTAATTTCTTGTATTTTCTCCTCAAGTTTTTCCAACCTCCTCGTCATGTATAGAGAAAAAGAAAAGTAATTTCCCATTACTATTTTCGTGTTTTAATTTGTTGTGTCTAGAAAGTTTGTCGAAAATAAACAGGCCACTTAAACAAAAAATAACTTGGATAATTATATGGCTAGTATTCTTACGTCTGGACAGATTCGGGTCGAAGCTGTTTGAGATGAGAAACCCAACACTACGGTGGTAAATAACTAGTAAATATGACTAGTGCTTTAAAGCCACTGACGTCAGTTTTTGCAAATGCTCGTTTTGGAACATTGAATCATGCATCTATAATAGCATATCCGATGCTTCTGTTTTCACACGCACATACATATCTGTTACGTTCCATTTATATGTATGTTTTTTTTGGACTTATTTTATTTACACTGAACCCCCTTTTATCATTTCTGTTACTATTTTAGCCTGTATTTATTTTTGGCAGTTTGTTAATTAGTAACGTGATGCCAAAAGTAGTCAATTATTGTAATGACCTAAGACGTTAATATTATTATTATCCTTTTCGAGATTTTGTTTAGAATAACATTGTAAATAAAGTTGGGAAAATTATAGAAAACTGCAAGATTCCAATATTTTATTAGTTAATGTCTTGCTAGGCCATTGGCATAGGCTATGTAAAATGGGGGTAAGGAAAACAGATAGGGAGAAAGAGCTAAAGTATGGGATAGCAGTTTTATTGAAAATACAAATATTCTTAAGTGGAGACAAAAAAAACCTAAACTGATTTAGAAATACGTAATAAATATAGTATAGAAATTTGACTTAGACCGTCTATCTTTCGATTAAAAATTAGGCTAGAAAATCTGAGAATAAGATTTTTTTTATTTATTACATTAGACCTTCTCCATATATGTATATTATTCTTATATTCTACAATAATTTGTATATATGCTCTTAAATAACGTTCTATCTACATAAAGATTAAAAATCTAGTGCTTGAAAACATATACAATGAACACCCCACGCCAACAATATGTAAGCCTATAATTAATTGTCATTTCATAATCAGCGTTGTCTTAATCCCACGGTGGCCATATGTTGATTTCTGTTCTCACTAACACTTTTATTTGAACGTACCACATGTGTTATTTGAATCAACATACGTTTACACGTCAACAGACATTGACACTTTAGATAATTGTCATCTGTCAGTTATTATTTGCACTTACTGCCAAACTGTTTCACTCTTAGTTCACCATAAACAATTTTGATCCGATTGCGCCAGGTGGGTTACTTTTTTTTGATTGATGTATATTTGGCACGCTCTGTAGATTAAACGGCTTGATGGATTTTGACGTTTAAAGTGTTTCGTCTCGTCTTAATTGTGAGTGACACTGGCTATATAAAAATTAAAATCGCCGGTTTGTTAATTTTAAGTACTTACACTTAATGTATTATAGTTCATTGTCCTACCGGCAGAAAACCTTCTCAATAAATGACCACGATAAGACAACTATTAAGGTAACAGGGTACAGGTACAGATGCCTAATAATGCATCCTGTTAATAGTCAAAGTTTTGTTGAAAACATAAGAAATTTACAAAACTTAATATTTCTTATATTAATATATAAGATAATAATCCTAAATGATATTAAAATATAATATGTACGTTCAACACGAATGTGACGTAGGCGAATGCCAGGCCGTTACAGAATGAGTTACGACCATTCTCCACTACATCCCGTCGCCGGCTTAACTATGCAACCGATGATTACACTGATAAGTATGGCGACAATCACAATTATTTATTGCCAGCTTGTCATTAATATAACACGGACAACACAACTGGCATATTCAATAGTTTTGGTAGTTTTTTTACCAGAAGGTAAAGTGCAAATACCGTTTACGAAAGTTGATGAACAGACTGAAACGAGTTTGCGTCATTATCTATTGGCGGGAGAGGCAATAAAGATTTCTGTCATCTAGGCAACTGATGATAAGTATCGAGCAACGAGTAAATTCAGTTTATCTCGCTTTTAATGAACTATTTGATTACTAATGCTGCTAGCATTAGTCATCATTTCATTTAATAACAAATGTATTCATTTTTTTATGCAAAGAGCAACAAGTTATCAGGCAGAAAGTCTGATAACTGGTTGCTCTTTACGATACCTCAATCTGTCAATTTTCATTGAAAAGTCGATTGCTGGATTATGTTTCAAACCTGGTTTGAAGATTTACACAGATTAAATGCCTTTAGACATAGAAGCTGATAAGATCACAAATATCAAATCCTCGTATTTCCTAGCAACGGCCATTGTCGTTTCCGGCTCGAGTTAACCAACCACCAAC